CATTAAAACTACCTTTTCCAATGGATTGGATTTTTGAGGCGCATCCGCAGTTCTACATTATAAGGGTGCATCCTTATATAAACTTTTTCCCAATTATCTGAATATAGAAAGATGTGATTGGATCCCATCAAACATGGTATATCAACTGCTATAATTAGAATGATACTAAATTTCATAATATCTTAAAATATTAAGATATTAGAGTGCTACCAAACATAGCTTTAATCTTACAAAAATGGGATATATTTATTTTTTATAAACAGAGAGTGCTTTCCAAATTGAAATTTGTTATTTTGGAGGTTCATTGCTAGGTTAAGAGGTCACATCCCTAACATTGGGGCCCAAAACTGCTCTAACAAATACTTGGTGCAGTAGTAGAACACGGGAAAAAAGAAGGAAGGGCCCGGCATTCATTTCTTCATTCCGCTATTATTAATAGTGGGGTGGTTAAAGCACGCCTCTGATCGTTGCTGCTTCCTGCTTGCTGCTTGCCCAAGTTGCAGGTTGATGCAATAGTTCATGGAAAAAAGTTATATAAGGTCGGGGCCCTAAACAATCAAATTAAGGCGCACGTAAAAATTTACTAGATGATAGTTGTTTCCATGTTTGAAAGTCTTTATCTTGACCCCAAGATGTATGGACATGATAAAAATGGATTTCAAATAACAATAATGCATATTGTAATGTATTTTTAGACCGTCAATTTTTATGATTTTCAAGTGTTCATAGATCTGCTCTATCTACACTATTTTTTAAGCTTTAAATTCTATAATTAGAAATGAAAATGAATTTTCAGGCTATTACAAAGATTTTCAGTACTAAAATAACATCTTTCGACACGATTTGAAGGTTCGCCTTACTTTGATTGTTTAGGACCTCAGCCTCATACAAACCAGACCCTTCTTCCATTGGCTTGAGCTCCACATATAGAGAGAAACAACTAATAAATTTTGATGGAAAAAGCTTTAAAAGACTGCAAACTTAAAATGTAGAATTAAATATGGGCCTCAAAACTCCATCGGAAAATGTTAGTTTTAATGTTGAAAAGCCCTCTAATTGATCATCTCGACATTGAGATGAATGAACACGAAAAAAAAAAGATTTGGAGTCCCATAAATAGTGTATCTTACAACACATTATCTAGACCGTCCATTTTCAAGATTTTCACATATTTATAGATCTACTTAATTTTTACCAATTTTGGAGTTTAAAATTTTATATATAGATATAAAATAGATTTTCAGATATTCCTAAGAATTTTTTAGGACAAAATTACATGTTATGATAAAATTTGGAAGTGCACCTCAATTGGATTGTTAAAGGTTGCAACCTTATAGGCCGGACCCATTTTGATAGAGTGATAAAACACCAACTAAATAAATAAAGAGGGAAGCAAGATTTTTATGAACAAGTGTAATAAAACACTTCCAAGTTAAGATTCCAAAAATAAATAAGAAGAGAAAGGCACGATCTTTGAGCAGTTGAGCATAAAAAAAAACATCTGACTAGTTCCTTTTGATCCAATTGGTCTATTCAATTGAGGTAAATTGGTTTGAAAAAACCTCCATACCTCTTGAAATGGGGGAAGTACTTTTATATGAAAAAAAATTTCATACAAAACAAACGTATCCTAAGAGAAACCTTAAAAGGGGTACATGCTACTATAACTTTTATACAGCCAGCACCATTATAGAATATCTCGAGATTTAATTTGACAAGTGTTTGAAAATAAATAAGTCTCGAGATACCATATGGACTATCTCTAGATTTAATTTGGCAAGTGTTTGAAAGAAATAAGTCTCGAGATACCATATGGACTAGTTGATAAAACTCAGAACGAATATTTTGCTGGCTTGTTACAATGCCATCTTCATATTACATAATAGTCTTAATGGCTTTCACGAATATGTGAGTGAAAATAAGGACAATGCCATTGATGCCCAAAAAACAACAACTCGAACTATGTATATTCGATCAATAAAACAGACCCAAAGAGGAGAATTGACATGCAACTCCAATATTTATCCCCTTCCCCGTACCCGTTACCCGTTAGGTTAATGACTCTTCTCTACCCATCCATGCAAACCAAGATCTTGAGTAATAACCTGATTTATGCCAAATAAAACCTGGTTATTGAAACATGGTGAATGGACAATACTCGGATTATACCAAAAGGATTGTTTTGATAAATCATTGGGTTAGCAATTTTAATATTTTACTTATCCATCTTGATTTTTTTATTTAATCTCAAAATAACTATTGAAAGCCACATCATCATGAGTTAGTTAGAACAGTCGCAAAAAATGTAAAAAATTCAAATTTAAATAGTTCAGTGCTCCCATAAATTTCCCTTCGATCTATTTTTGCAGCAAAAAATAATTTATTATAATTTCTCGAGGAAATATAGAAAATAAAACCATTATAAAAACCCACATAATAACACCAAAAAAATTGGGCCGATTTTCAGGAAGCTTCTGGGCCTCATAAATAACAATTGTTTTCTCCTTCCCACCCAAATATTTGTTATTGAACACCCACCATTAAAAAAGCCACATCAACCATAGAATCCAAAAACATTAAAAATCAAAAGAAGGAAAAAAAAAACTGATTTGATTGAAAAGAGGAAAAAGAAATGATAAAGAAAAAGGAAAAGGAGAACTACATATCCAAGTCCCCCAATTCTCACTTTTTACAACTTTGATACACAAACCGAATTTGCAGAATAGCAACAATCGAATAACAAATAGCAAACAGTAGTATGACAGTGCTTGGTTATATATATATATATCAGTGAATACAATTGATTGATTTATGAGTTTTTTTTGTTTTTAGGTTTCCAAAAAATCATTTACCTGATATGAAGGATTCTGCTGCTCTTTGCGGTTGGCTCTTTCGCCTCCCTCTTGTTCTCGGAGGTTCTGCTCTCTCTTCCCCTCCTCCTCCTTTAGGAGACGAGGCATCACCCTCTATCCTCGTCTTCTTTTCATCCGATGATAGCTTTTGTTTCTTCGATTCTTCTTCTTGTTCTTCTTCTACTACTTCTTCTTCTTCTGGTTTGGATTCTTCTTTCTCTTCTGCTGCTGCTGCTGCTGCTGCTGCTTTTTGAACGACTTTCCTAGGGCGGCCTCGCTTTCTGGGAGGATTTGGGGTCTGTTCAGAAGAAGATGATTCTGATTTAGCTTTCTTCGATTTCTTTTTGCTTTTCCCCATCAATTTATCTCCGCCCTGAACCCATCAACTTCTCTTCACCATCATATTTGCACCAAATCTCTGTTTCTTTGTACTTCGTGCTAAGCAAATATGAGTGGCACTGAAGCAGTCTAGAAAGTGGAGTGGATCTGGTAAGAAAGGATTCAGTTTGATCTCCGTCCCGCCCTTTACAGCTTTGAAGAAATCATCAATATCTTCACTCTCCACAATGACCAAATCCTCTTACTCTCTCTCTCACACACTTTTATTTGGTGTTTTGATTACAGTGAGTGCATATATGGCGCTTCACTGCCCTGGGCCTGGAGCCACATACTGTAGCAAAAAAATAACCATGGTTACTTGTATCTTGGTCCCACCCACACCCATTTTAAAGCAAACGCCTCTTTCTCTCTCTTCCTTTGACTTGTAAGGCCACACGCCACGCCACAAACAGTCTCCGACCTTTTCTTCCATGCCCTCCTTCCGCTTCTGCTCCTTTTTCATGCTCTACTCCTACAAACTCTCTCTCTTTCGATTTATTCGGGATCCAAAGTTTTATTTATTTTTTGTACATCGAGTTCATAATTATTTTTGTATTTAAAATTTTATAAGAGCATCATTGAATTGAATAGATCAAAGTTTTAAGATTTCGTGACTCACCCCAAGCTATCCAATTCTCTTACTTCATGAATTCATGTAGAAATGAGTCACCTCTAAAAATCTATTTCATTTTTTATCTTAATTTTCAAAGACGTGTAATCTTTAACATAGAGATCATGAATATAAACAAATAAATAATTTTTGTAAATTAAAAATAATAATCCTATTAAAAAAACATTTTGAATGTTAGTTTCAATTGTTTTTAGATAGATCACCTATATGCGTCCATCTTTAATATGGATACTTTATACTTTGGGATTGCACTTTGTATAAATACGGTCCACATGAAACAATTTTCCAAAGATAAATGTGCTGACTATCATTCATGGTTTCCCTATTTCCCATAAAGCCTCATTATCGACAAAATGCCACCAATATTCTTAAAGTTAATCGCAAATATATGTGATGAGCTAGGTGCACTACTATTCATTGTAGGGCTCGGGTCCGGGTCCGCCTAGACTTTGATCAAACCCAAAAATTAAATTATATATGTATTTGAATATATTGTAATATTAGGACCCGAAAAATATTATTAGATCCGGATCCAAATAGTGTTCAGGTCTAATATTTGGACCCGGACTTGATCTGCCGGATCTAATTTTTAGACTCATACCCGGACTTGGATCAGGTCTGCCCCTCATGTCCCGAGTCGGGTCCAAGTCCATTGCCACTTTCATGGGATACCTTATGAGGAATAGAGCCATGTGTATAGAGTTGTTTTTCATGGGATACCTTATGAGGAATAGAGCCCTATGTATAGAGCCTGACAAGGCTAACCCTCGTGCTTTCAAGTTGGACCCAATGTCGAGTTGGAGTTCGGCCACGATTAAAACCCATGGGCCATATCTGAAATTTTTTACACGCGTTAAAAAATCCTTATATTTAATATAGTGGCAAATCTACACCATCTAAATAAGATAAATAGTGCATGTTATTGTAACCTTACTTTTGTACATAAGTTTGAAACATCATATAAGCTATTTTCATTATTGAATGACAAACTTTCAAAGCTTTATATATGTCTAGAAATAAATGACCATCAAACAGTATTATACTTCTATTGCAACTTGATAATAATAACTAACGATAATATTGAACTATTATTATCAACTCACTACCAATTATACAATATTAATAGTTGCGTCCATCACAGTTAACGAATAAACATTTTTTAAGACAAAATGGGCGTGCGAATGGTGCATGGTTCCAAACCTTTTCTTAGACGAAATGGGTATGCGACTAGTGCACAGTTCCATTTAAGTTCATTTTCATTTCCTTAATGAAATCTTACCGTTTCCAAAAAATAAAAATAAAAAATAAATGGTTGGAGATGGAGGGTACTCGCGTAAATTTGCCTAAAATAATAGGACTCGACGCGGCGAGTTTTTATTATAAAATCGACCGGTATCTTTTGATATGACATGAAATGATGGGCTTAACCCTAAACAAACCAACGTTTTTCAACCGCCGCCACTCCACACCTTACGTTGACTGCCGATTCATAGGGTAGAGTTTCGGCCGTCCGATTCGATGAGGATGCCGCCCAAAAGAAATCTGTGCCGTCGGTTTTGGTTGCGAAAGCTCGGTGTACCGAAAAAATGGACTACGGTGTTGCTTCGAAAGCGCGTGTCTGCTGAGTTGGGGTGATGGGGAACCTACGTGTGTAGCCGGCCAGCCCATTCACGGGTGTGGTGTTGCGTTGCGTTGCGTTGCGTTGCGTTGCGTTAGGAGCTTGAATTATGTACGCTGCTCGGGTCCACACGGTCACCGACTCCACCCTAAACCCATCCGTCCGGATTAAGTATTTGGATTATAGATTCAAATGGTGTTCTAAAAATCGTTAGTCCAAATCAAGAACTGCTCTTCCAAACCGGTAATTAATCTCGACCCATCCAATTCAAACTGCTCTTCCAAACCGGTAATTAATCTCGACCCATCCAGTTCTCTACGGAATTGGGAATCAGTCTGCTTCTATGAACTCGCCTGCTTTTATCTGGGAACTCCCCAGGTACTATCAGGGATAACATGTCTATCAATAGGAACTCGCTTGGTTCCCACACATCGTTTTTTTAAATTAATTTTCTTTTTAAATTTTTCTTTTTTTTTTTTTGGACATATTATCACACATGAGATTTGGTCTGATTCGATGATTGAGATTGACAACAAACAATCTAGACCGAATTCTTGGAGGGAGGCATTCAAACAGTGGATCCGGACCACTAAATTTAGAACCCACCTAAATATCATGTATTTATAAGCAGAGGTGATTCAAATTTGACTCAAAATGATATGAAGTGGAACTTGTAGGCTCGAATATGTTGGATCCTAACTTGATCCAACAATGTAGAGAGGAGCAGGGTTTAGGTCCACCCTGTACTTGACACTCTTATGAACACTTGACAATCTTGAAATTGACGGTCTAGATAATATATTACAAAATGTACTATTCCAATACTTGAAATCTATTTTTTCTCGTATCCATGCACATTAAGATCGAGATGATCAAATTAAGGGTTTGTCAGCATCAAAATAACATCTTCTAGTGAATTTTTGAAGCGGACACTAATTTGATGGTTTAGGGCCTCACACTTATATAAACTTAACTTTTTCCATTTTAATTAGTGCGCACAAAGATTTAAAAGGGAATTTTTCATTAGGATACTTAAAAACAAAAGATTATTCACTGTCTTGTAAGTTCAAATGTACACAAATAACAATATCACTGAGATGTATTTCTCTTTAGGGTGTGGTTTGTCAACCTTGAACAATCAAAGTAAGGTGCACCTAGGAAAATAGCCCGAGCTCAATTGGTTAGCGCTTGACGAATTGCTATGCTATGTCCTAAGCTCAACTTTTACCAAGGGTAGGGACCCTCTCCCCATTGATTCGCCCAAAAATACTCACCCAAAAAAGAAAAAGTAAGGTGCACCTTCAAACTTTGTCTATCGAAAATTCTTAGGATGGTACAAGTATAAAATTTTAAACTCAAAAAATAATTCAAATCGAGCATATCTATAAACGTGTGAAAGTCTTAAAAATTGACAATCAAAACAATGGTTGCAAGATATATAATTTTTAGGACTTGAAATCTCTTTTTTCTCCACAACTATACATCTTGAAGTCGATATGATCAATTAGATGTTTTTAGAACGTTAAAACACATTTTTTCAAATACACTTTAGAGTGTCGACTTATATAAATTTTTTCCTTCTTTTTGGAGAGAAAAAATGAGTAATAGAAAGAGTGATAAAAAATACATTGTACTTTGAACAAAGGAATTTAAGTCCTTTACGTAAAGAGAAAAAGTGTTATGAACAAGTCTCCTTCCAAAAATCTATCTTCAAATGGATTTTTGGATCTAAAATTAGTGAAATGTTGATCACCATGATCATAAATATTAAAAAATGGTATTTAAATCTTAAAAGTATATTATTTTGAGTAATTAAGTGAACGGTCTAAAATAAAGCTTAAATTTATATCTTTCTGCTATTTAAAATTGTCTTTGCTCATATTTCTTTTCAATTTCTTGGTGGTCAAGAATATCAACATGTTATATTTTAGATCCAAGGGAGAGATTTTGGGAGACCACCACACTTTAATATGGTGACTATGCTCACCCATCAAAACCTGACCTGCCATTTAGAGTCTGTGAGACCCTACTGCCATAGGACCACACCTTAGGCTGAAACATCATAGTCCCAAAATAGGACATCTCTATTTATCATAAGACATTATTTCTTCCGGGCACCCATGAAGTGGCTTTGAGTTTTTTTTCCCTTTAATGTCTGTTGTGGAAAAATATAGAATGAGACCATTTACCTTTGGTACAAGGTGATCACAATTAATCTTGACAATAATATGTGAAATTGGTGGCTCCATTTATTCTATTGACCAATCTCAAACTTCAAAATAATTTTTTTAGAACTTTGTGATACATCCAAACTATTAAAATTCACATCGGATAACCATAAGTAATTGTGACCACCTTGTATCAAAGGTAAATAGTTTCATTGTATACAATCCACTAGGTCGAGGAACTTATGCCTCTGTCCTCAAAGGCATTCTCAATAGGGCTCCTACTATACTAGGGAGTGAAAGATATGCTGTCAAGTAGCAGTGGTTAAAAAATTAACATGTTTATTTTATTTCTTTGCATTGGCTTTTATTTGGGGTTGGAAATCTTTGTGATAGCCTTAAAATACATTTTAATAATTAAGTATAAAATTTAAAGCTTAAAAAATAGTGGATCTAGCAGATATGTGAAAATTTGAAAATCAACGGTCAAAACATGAGTTATAAAATGCACTATATCCAAAACTTGAAATCCATTTTTTTTTTGATGTCCGTGCATTTTGATGTTGAGATGATGAATTTATGGATATTTGGGCATCAAAACAACATATTCTAGTGAAACTTTTGAGGTGGGCTCTAATTTGATTGTTTAGAGCCTTGGCTCTATATAAACTTTTTCCTTATCAAAATATATTTAAAATATCAAATAATTTAACTCGTTAGTATATGCCATCAGATGCGATTTTAAATTAAAAAAAAAAAATTTGATTGCATGTCAAATAGTTCATCTCTTTGGTACTTTTTGATAATTTTTTATTTTTTTGCTCAAGGATTCAGGAGGTGCAATGGTATTTTGACTGTAAAATTTTGAGTGCATGCACATAATAAAAGAAAAAAGTGGAATATATTATCTAACTCAAAATTATTATAAAAATATAAAAATAAGGAAAAATGGTATATATTATCTAAATCAAAATTATTATAAAAATATAGAAATAAGGAAATATAAAGTAATATTATATTATTGGCTTTTTGGTATAATTTTACATTATCGTCCGTTAAATGCTAGATGTAAAATCAGATGGTTAAAGGTTTATCATTAAAAATTAAAATATAATTTCTCAAAACATATCATCACACTGGTTAAAGGCGTATCATTAAAATTTTAAATATAATTTCTCAAAATATATCACGCATATTAAACTGTTAAATTTTACATCACAATTGAACTGCCAAATTTTGCGTCCCTTTTCTACAGAGTAGAGATAATTGCGACCTCATTATATAAAGTTAAATATTAAATGAAGTAATCGATCGCTTGAGATAATTCCATGGAGAGCTAAATGTTCAGGTAAGAGAGAGAATTTAAACTCAGGTGTGTGTGTGTGTGACAGAGAGATGACACTGGGGCTGATCAATGCGAATCCTGTGGTTCACGCGAAGAAGGAGAGGATCGCCCGACCTGAGTTTGATCTCCACTCCTCCACTGATGACTCTGTTGATCCTCTTGATATCTATGATATCCTTTTCCTTTTGTTTCATCTTTTACTTTCCTATTTTGCATTCTGTCTTTTAATTTTCTTACATTTTCTGCTCATCTGATATCTGATGCTGACCTGAACTGATTTTTCATGGCTCCATTGGTAATTAAACCTTGAATTCATTTTCTCAATTTTCTGTCTTTCAATTTTCTTGCATTAGATGTTCATTTTGATCACTGATGTCGAGCTGAACTGATTTTTCATGGTTCCGATGAAATTACCCTTGATTTATAAATCAAAAGCATGAAATTTGCTTGAAGTTTTATGTGTTGGCCTCTGTATGTCCATTTTCTTGCAATTCTCTCTAGCTTTTAGTCCGTGTGTTCATTTGATTGCCCAAATCCTGATTTTTTGTCTTATTCCAAGCTCCCTGGACTAAATTTTCATGATTCTATCAATTATATGGGTGAATGAGCGTGACTTATTCCAAAGTGAAGTGGTTTTTTTAGTAATATTTGCTTCAAAAGCAGTCTGAAATAGCATTTCTTTGCATATGCTCATGCTTTTTTCTGATGAGTTCATGTCTTTGTTTTTTATCATCGGCTAACTCTTTTTCTTTCTCGATTGGTCTGCAAAATCAACGTAATCGTGAGTGGGTACACTTCTAATGTGATTGAGCACTTCTATGGGGCATTTATCCTCAATACATTTGAGAAATCAACTGAATATATGGTTAATGGAAAAGATTTAGAAATCAAACAGTTCATTTGAAGCTAAACTCTATTTGAAGACATGGTTAATGGAAAAAAGATTATACAAGCTGAGGGCTTTTACGATGCGTAAGCCCCTTTGGAATTAATGGGTTCATTGGAACCCCGGAGTTTATGCACGTCTAGCTGTCATCCAGGTTAAAAAAAACATAAAAATAATGGAAAACGAGCCTACCATTTTCAGTGAAATCAGGCTTCAATTGGTGGACGGTGGATCTAGACTTTCAAATATTCAAAATCTTTTTATTCTTGAGAGGGTTTATTTTTCGAATCAAAGATGTTATGTGAATTTTTTTTGGCCCAAACAAATCCCTCTAGGCATGTGTCTTGACCCTCAACTTATACTATAGCTACAAGTGAATTAGCTTATGGAATCTTTTTCCGTGGTTACTTATCGACTAAAATTAATGAACGTGTGACTATCACATTTACTGCTCTCATGTATAGGTTTGGTGAATAAGGATGACAGATGAAAAAAAAGAGAGTACATTTTAGCATTCAAATGCATATTGATTTTCAATTTCTCCATTAATGCGAAGCAAGGATTCCTTTTCACTCTGTTGTGGAAAAAGCTTTGAATTCTTTACTGTGTTTCTGATGTATTTAAGGTTGTTCAGAGGAAAACTGTGAACTTGACTCCCTACAACAGATTTTGTAAGGGATATTAGAGATCCAGAGCATCCTTACTCATTGGAACAACTCAGCGTTCTCTCCGAGGAATCAATTACCGTCGATGAGAAACTTGGACGTATTCTGTACGTGTTTTTTTCTGAATTAGTTTGGGCTTATTCACTTTACATTAGGTGTCCGTCGTGCATTAAGATTGTTAATTCACTGAATTCATTCAAGAGGCCTATTATTATTTTATGATATTTTTATTGCACTTATGAGTATGAGTGCTAAAGATTGCTATGCTCACAAAGTCGCAATTAAAAAGAAATGTTAAATTTGAACACTTTATCTCCTTCATAGATGGTAGCTAGTTTGATAGATCTAGTACCTCCCTTATTTTTATTGCAATTATGAGTATGAGTGCTAAAGATTGCTATGCTCACAAAGTCGCAATTAAAAAGAAATGTTAAATTTGAACTCTTTATCTCCTTCATAGATGGTAGCTATCTTGATAGATCTAGTACCTGCCAAAAGCAATTATTAACTTTTAATTTCCTGAGTAATGAGCTGCATTATGAGTAACCGTAATGAAAGTTAAAACTTTAGTTGGAGCAATTTATTTAATGATAGTTTAGTTGATATGAGAAACAATATATGCTAACCAGGTTAAAAAGTGTGGTTAAAAAGTATGAGACTTGGGTGAGTGTTGTATTAAATATATAGGACTCGCCAGGGTCCCAAGGCCAGTTGAATCAGGGAAATCCTGAGTCAACTTGCTGAGTTTTAAAACACTAGATAAGGGGAATGAAATGTGAGTCTGAGATTATGGGAAAATGAGAGTGCTGGAGAAAGACATAAGAAGTATGCCCCGTTTAAGATGGTGTGACTGCCGGTTTACTGAGTCTACTACCATTTCATCATCAATATCTACTGATAAACTTGTTTGGAGATGAAATATGAGGTTTACACTGCTTATAATGTATATAGAAACTAAAATTGATATTATAGAAAATAGGATGTGAAATGCTGTTTTTAGTTTAATTTCACCATCAACATGAATATATTCGCTGTTTGAGAACCTCTTGATGATGTTTGAAATGAGATTTAACTATGAAATTGGCACATTGTCACTAGAATAAAAGAAAATCTAAAGGGGCTGTAACCCGGTGCTGGTCCCACCTACGCAGGGTCCCGGGAGGGGTGAGATGGAAGCGGTCCTAACCTTTGACTCTTTATGCACAAAGTGGCCGCTCTCAGGATTTGAACCCGCGCTCTTGTGCTGGCTACCTGAGCCTTTTAACGTCACACCAAGTGACAGCCCCCAGAAGAAAATCTATTCAATCTAAACTTGCAGATTTCTTGGCATGGTATATGCTTTATAACATTGTTTTGCACCATGAGTTTTCTTTGGGGTTTAAGACTGAAATATGGAGGTTTTTATGCAAGTATGAGTTGATATTTCGTATACTTCTTTTTAATCTCCCATAATTTCTTTGGTTTTTTGAAACTGTAAAGAAATGCAGCCAATTGTCAAACAATATGAAGAGACTTAGAAACTAACAAAGGACTGGTTTTATGGTTCTGTGTTCACTAGATTTCTCCTCATTCATGCCTGCTTCGCTTTTTCCCTTTTGATTCGCTGAAAGATGCTCCTCAGCAGTAAATATGACTTTTATATAAATATTCAAACATATACCGAAGCGTTTATTTTTTCTCATAAACTTGTAGGATAACTTTCACTCCGACGGTGCAACATTGTAGTATGGCCACAGTTATTGGTTTGTGTCTGCGGGTTAAGCTGATGCGCTGTTTCCCACCACATTTCAAGGTTAGTTTCTTTGGCTTGTCCCTAATATGTATGAAAGGAAATCTTTCTGTTCTAACTTATGTAACATCAGTATTTTAGTAGCTCATTTCATTATCTATTGGATGAATTTGTAGTTTGGATATGAATTGTCAGCAGCACTTGAAAATGAAGTACGTGATACCTTTGGTGTAGATTAGCAACTTTTCCCTATAGAGAAGCGATAAGGAGCTTAGGTTATGTAGAAGATGATTATAAAATATAACTTTCGTGGAAATTTTTTTTTACAGGAATAGGAAACCAAAATATCTCGTGGTTATGAAATTTTCTCCCCCTTTTATTCATTGAAAAGGAATCTTAACTACTGGTTTATTTATAATTTTTGGTGGGGTTTGATATTGGTGGCTGCTACTGCGCCCATTTTTTCTATTGTCACCTGGAGCATGGGTGAGAATTTCTGAAACACAGAATGTTAGAATTTCCATCCATGTACAGGGGTGCATTGCAAAAAATTAGGTGCAAATAGCTATCCCTTTTCTAGGTAACAAAATAAGTAAATGAATTAAGAAACAAAATGTTTGTTACCTTCATGATTTAGTCAGCCGGGAACCTTACACATTGTAGCTGGTCGAACCTGTCTGGTTCACATTATTTTATTAATTTTTTTGGTTGGACTTGGTTGGGTTTCCGACAGACCCAGCCAGTCTGTCTGACCTGATTTGGGATTGGTACCCTAGCGAATCCTGACCAGAGTCCATATTTTCTAATGATATATGTCATATGCTTTCCATGATCCATACGATATCATCTGCAGAACAACACATGCCCGCAAACTTGCAGACAGCTCTTCTTTGTGACTCATTTTTTGTTTGTTGTTTGATGTGCAGGTTGATATCAATGTGGCCCCTGGATCTCTTGCAGATGAAGATTCAGGTGCATGCTTATTCCACCATCCATACCATGTCTGATTTTCATGATTATGATTGAATTAATCTTAGACTTGTTTTGATTTTGAAACCCATTGTTACTAAAGTGAAAAATTATGAAACCAATTCTAATTGCCTGATTTAGCTTAACTTTTTGGAGAATTCCTGATCTATTTACTGCGAATGTCTTGTTTAGTGGTTGATAAGTGTCATACTCTGGACTATTGGAGTTATCAAAGGAGAGAGAGGAATTACCATTTAGCTTTATTCTCCAGATGAGTTTGAGCTCAAGTATTCTCTGTCATGATTACAGAATTTCAGAGTTTTGTTGCTCTTAATATGTGCTCCATTTGTTTTTTTTTTATTTCTTTCCATTTTGTTGAGCTTGCAATTCGAATAATCAAATATGTGGAGCCAATGCAGTCCAAAATGCCTCTCAATGGAGTCATAAGTTCTGTCTAGAGCCACTCGAATTTCACCAGCCCCATGTAGAATGTAGATCATAAAATTAAATGATCTGAACGGGACCCTAATCTCGATCGACCTTATTGGTCCTATTGAGTACTAATAGCATTGGTTTATGGTGAAATCCAATGCAAGAGGTGGTTGTTTATGACTGACATCCTTGAGCCCCTATGTGTTCTTGTGATCATGCTCTCTATGCTGCATATTCTTCGAGGATAGTCCACGTTCTTGATAGGAATACTGAGAACCGGCCGTTGATGGTATCTCTTGCCTTCAATATGGAATTTCAGAAGTAGATGCGTGTTGTGTATAGCATAAGCAATATGATGGGATCCATTCAGTGATGAGACTCCATTAGAAATCATCACTTTTAAGAGGTTCTCATAGTATTTGGCATTAATAGAATTTATTTCATGCTGCATTTCCCATTGGGATTCTCTGCATGGCATTTAATATATTGTGTGCATTTTAAAGTGAGCTCTTTTCTTCTGATACAGGAAAGTGTGAAAATCTCTCAATGATTACTCACTCTTGTTTAAATATGATAAATCTTTGTCTCGCTTTTTTTTTTTTTCCATTCATGGCAATGTTTCTCATTTGCAAAAATAATTACTTATAGTTTATTTTATTTAACTAGAATCCAGGGATTGAGTATCTTTGTGATTGGTGCAGTAAATAAACAACTGAATGATAAAGAGAGAGTTGCTGCTGCCCTAGAGAATCCCAACCTTCGTCAACTTGTGGATGAATGCCTCCAGTCTAATGAACTCTAATAATCTCATCCATGCAAGCCTGCTCCTTGCAGGACTTCTTGTACAGTGACGACTGTTTGCTTTGCTATCTGTAGGTGTACGTATCTGAGATGAAACTATGGACCTTCTCAGCCATGGGTGGGCTGAAAGGATTCAACTGAAAGGGACCTGTTATCATGTTCCTTTTGTATATTTTTGTGTTTCTTATGTGTTTCTAGTTATAGAGAGAATAGGGGTGAGATCTTGATCGATGAGGACAATGTGTTGTGTCTGTTTTATTCGTATCTCGACATGGTATATCTTACCTGTGAACAACCTCTTTTCCATTATATCTCTTTTCTGGCATGGTTTCATGAACAGGGCTGTTATTTTACTTTTAACTGCAATTGTTACTCAATAGTCCTGAATACCATCTCTCTCTCTCTCTCTCTCTCTCTCTCTCTCTCTCAATTGAAACCTTAATGGAAGGTCCCTCTCTCCTCGAACCCTATTCTCTCTCTCGAACTCAAATCTACCCCAAGTGTCAGTATCTCCCATCTTTTGACATCACTCTCATTGACAAATCAGCCACCAGATTACAGAATCTCTGTCTCTAGACCCTAATATCTCTGATTCTCTCTCAATCTTGAGTCAGCCCCAAGTTTTAAATTATCGCCCACTTTGATCTCTCTCTCTCTCGCCCTCTCTCCCGGTCTCACTATTCCTTGGGAGCTTTCAAATCCCCCATATCAGAGCCTCCAGAATGCACAACCTGAGGGATACAATAAGGTACACCATCTATCTGTTGTTTGTTTTTTTAAATTTGTTTGTTCCTGAAAAGTTAACTCTTTCAAAAGAAAAAAAAAAAAAGGAATTTTGTTTGTTCCTGAAAAATGAATAGGTTCAGGATATGAGAAAACCCAAAGAGAGATTAGTCAGCCTAAGGGAGATGAAAACTCGACGTACGCAATTGATACGTGTTGTTATGAAACAACAGATGGAAAAAAAGCTTCAATAGAAACTGAGCTTTAAGAAAGCCGAGGTATGAACCATTTTTAAAAGTGAATTTATGAACTGATATAACTGAAAAAGAGGGAATCTATTCAAAAGTCCTCTTAAATTGACAAGAAAGAGGCATGAGTGTAAAAGATGACGTACAAGAAAAGTTTTGCAATACATCAAAAGATATTCACAAAAAGTCCTCTTAAATTGAGTCCGGATGTAAAAAGCCGATCCCTGCAGGAACAATGGCTGGAGCCTATGACTTGTTTGGGTCAGTCTGGGCCTGGGCCTGGGCCATCCATCCACAACTAGGCCAAGGCCAAAGGCCAGGGCCCAGCCTATTGCATCATCTAACCAGGAGAGGAAATCGAGAGCATAGAATTATTGAGGCCTGGGGTTTTCTTTTTTCTTCTTTCGAATTTACATAAATAATATTTCTGGATTTTTGTTTTCTACATTCATGTCCATTTGTCACAAAAAGTTGTGACTTTAGACCTTTAAGTGATCTTTAGATTTTTTAGGTATGAAGTGGTCTCTGGAGTTCCAGAGAGCAGTTCGGGCTTTGATTGTTCGAGGTAGTCAGCTTGATGGTCCCTAATTTCATAACTTTAAGGTTTGGAATCTTGTCGCATCAGACTTTCAAGGTTCCGAAGTCACTGTAAAAAAAAATATTCAAGTTGCCACAAACAAATTTGAATTTGGATAGTGGATGCCTAAAGTCAAAATAAGAAATTATTTGAATCTTCGATCCGAAATTAATGCCACCTCTTATTTTGAAGGTCCAACGTGGGGCATTATGTTATTGGTGTATTTGTATAAAGCATCAACCTCACCTCTAGAAGTAACGTTGCCATGCTTTATTTATTGGGATTGTATGCAATGAGATCATTTATATAAGGGGGTCACAATTATGTATTACCATTCGATGTGATTTCTAAAAGCTTGGGTGTGTCATAAAATTTGAGAAATTTTTTTTTGAACTTTGAGCTTGGTCAATGAAATAAATGTAGCCATCTAATTTCACATCCAATGATCAAGATTAATTGTGACGACCTTGTACCAAAGATAAATAGTCTCATTGTATACTTTTTTTGATGTTGCAATGCTCGATATCATCTATTTTGAAAGTGAGCGGTGTAGATTTGACAAATCTTTTAAAACAATGTTATAAAAGAACATATCTTTTAAGGTAATATCAAATCCATATCATCCAATTAAAATGATCGATATATATTAATGAAACATACAAGATTGCAATCTTATATAATTTGTTTCCTATTCTACCAAAAAAAACATAAAATAAAATATTTGTACTCCTCGGGAGTATACTATCCATTTACTCCTTTGGGCAAAACACATCCTAAGGATAATGTTTGGATCTCAAATTTTAGGGATGTAATCTCTACAACCTCACAATGATCTTAGTTAAAAAAAATCAGAAATTGTCTCTCTATATACTAAAAAAAACACTAATGCCTCAAGATTGAACGGATGTTGTCTAGTTTTCTAATTGATATATCTAAGTGTTTCAAAAGTTAAAATCCAAATTTTTTTCTTTTACAAGTAATCATTCAGTAATTTTCATGTGGTTCTCAAAAGTTTAGACTAAAATTTCCAAAATAGGTGTTGTAAGCAAGGGAGTAGATATACAATATGTTGTCGTGGAAGCATAGTGTACGTGCTCAAAGAAAAAGGAAAAAAGAAAAAAGAAGAAGAGAAACATAAAATATAAAAATGAGTGTGGTTTGTATAAGTTGAGGCCCTAAACAATCAATGTAAGGCGCACCTTCAAATAGTATCGATGTTGTTTCAATACTATAAATCTTGGTGATTCCCCCCAAAATTTATTTTTATCACTAATCATAAATTTTAAAACTCCAAAATTTGCATAGATTGAGTGTATGAACACTTCGGTCCAGAAAATGCATTATAAGACACAATATTTCCAAGACTTGAAATTCATGTTTTCTCATGTTCATATATCTTAAGAGAAAGTATAGAATAACACCATTTAGCTTTGATACAAGGTGAACAATTTAATCTTGACCATTAGATGTGAAATTGGGTGGCAACAATTATTCTATTGATAAAGCTCAAACTTCAAAAGAAATATTCCCGAAGTTTATGACACATCCCAGCTATCAAATTTCATATAAAATGACTGTAAGGAATTGTGACCAGGTAAGTGGTCTCATTGTAAACCATCTCATATCTTAAAGTCAAGATGATCGATTTCAGGATTTTTGGGCTATCGAAACATCATCTTCTAGTAATTTTTGAGACGCCCCATAATTTGGTTGTTTAGGGCCTCAGCCTTATATAAACTTCCTCCTGCAAAAATTAGGCAAAAAAAAGATTTTATGATAACTGGGCACTTCACGCATTGAAAACTTCTTTTGACCTTATTTAAACTGTGTTGCTCCTGCCAGTCCCACATAAACATGGCTTCGTCGCCCTCATTTTGCAGGTCTTTGGCCATGGCGGCGACGCGGCTCGCACCCCGCTCTTATCCTTCCAAAGCCTTGCGCGGCAAGACTACGCGTTCTTCCGTCATGCGACCTCCTTCATTACCCAGGTAAACTCACTCTTTTCAGTACCTTTCCCACTGGAAACCCAGTTTTTGAGTTACTGATACCTTATCTCGCTGAAACACTAAGTTCCTGAGTTGTTTATGAGTTGGTGGTGCGATGATCAATGATAAACCCTAATTTTTTTGAGTTTTTGTTGAGTTGAATGTGTGGATTTGTTGATGACTGGCAGTGTTTGTAGGTTGATGGGGTGCGCAGAGTCTTTGATTCCCCTTCACAGTGCCATTGCTTCTGCTTGCCTCAAATCCATGCTCTCCGTTAACTCCAATTGTTGGAGTTTGCTCTCTCAAGGTTTTTTCTTCATTGCTCTATTTTTCTTCTGGCCTTTTTAATGTATTTCTTGCTTTCATTTCTTTGCCAATCTCTTTGGTGGTAGTGTATTTTATTGTTTTTCATGGCGCCCTAGTTGCTCGTTTTCTTGACTATTCCTAGTATTCATGAAAATGGGCTCCATAGCACCATAGCACAAGCGCATCATACTCTAAGCTTTGATTTTTTCTGTTTTATGAAGATCATGGGGTTTTGGAGAATTTGGTTGAGAAGTGAGACGAATACAAGTTCCCTATAATGGATAGGATAAAATGAAGGGCTGGCATCATATGCAAGTATTTGAACTATAATATGTTACTTTAAGACACTATATTATGTCTCTTTAAGTTGGATGAATACAAGTTCCCTATGATGGTTTTCTTTTTATCTTTGCGATTGACTTGATGTTCATTTGGCTTCCATTGCTTAATGCATTCCGATAAATTTCCATTGTAAAAATGTCATTTGCATGACAAAACTCCAGCTTGATTTTAAGAGTAAAGTAATCAAGGTTATCATGTCTAGGTTTACCAATGATCCTAGAAACCAGGAAACCTGCTTTTGGGTCATCATCTCAAATTCTCAATTCATTGACAAAAGCTACCTATCTTAGTAGGTGAGGTCGATTTATTGAGAATTAAGTTATGGAAATCTTATCAATTTCTGTTTTCAAAACTTTGGTTGTCAAACTTGGGTGTGTGTGGTTGCAATTTTTGTGCCTGGCAACCAGTATTTCAAAAAGCGTTAGGCGGCACCCAGGCGGCCATGGGGGTCCAGGCCGCCCAATGCCTAGGCGGGAGCTAAGAACCTGGGCTGCCCAGTTGGAAAAAAAAAAAAGATGACTGATAATGATTAGTCCATAAGAATTTTGATAATCCCTAAGATCATAATCCATAAGAATTTTGATAATCTATAAGACCATAATCCCAATTAAAAAAGTCCAAAAGAGAATTTTGATAATCCATAAGACTATAATCCATATTTTCATACAATGCTAAAACAATAAAACCATACAAGCATACACGAATAGTCTGATACACTGTAGATTATAGTAGAACTGGAAACTAGAAAGTAGAAACTAAAAATAAGAAAAAGAAAATATACATAAATTATGAAAATATACAGTCTAGGACATAATAGTCAACACTCAACACAACAGTCAACACTCAACACCAAGAGTCTTCAATCATCATCAGAAGAAATAGGGTAAGCTTCATCATATGTATTAGATTCGGGGCCATCATCATCAGAGTCATCTCCGTCTTCAATATAACACTCGTCCTCCTGTGTTTCTTCTGAATCTGCCTCTTCCTCCTCCTCTTCTTCTACCTCCCTCTTACTAGTATGTGCAGATGAGGCCCTTAGGAGTCTTGGCTGCTCTACCATTTTCTATCTTTCTGTGCTTCTCTGAACTCAAATATTGTATAATTTCCTCCCTGGTAGCTTCAGGAACATTTTTATACGGGGCAACATCCTCCTTAATACCGGCAAGGTGTTTTTAAAACCGGTAAATGCCCCCATTAGTATCCTTTCCACAATTACATTTAATACGATTTTTGTCATTTGGATTCGGGTTATAACCATACTTTCAACCCGGATCACCTCTTCTAGAAGAATCTGGAGAAGATATTTTCATAGAACAATGCTCATTTTCATCAGCTTCTGGTTCTTTTAAATTCATAAGTTGTCTAATCTCATTTTGAATAGCTTCAGGAACCTTTTTATAAGAAGCAACATTCCTTTTAATTTCAGCAAGGTTTTTCTTGAATCGGTTAATACCCCCATTGGTATATTTTTGACAAAAATTATACCTTATACAATTTTTATTGTTTGGATTTGGGTTATAACCATACTTCCAACCCGGATAACTTCTTCTAGAAATAGTAAAAATAGATCTATTCAAATGACAAGGATTTTTTTCCTGTTTTTGTTTTACATAACTCATATATTGCTTAATCTCCTATCTGATAGCTTCAAGAATATTTTTACAAGGGCCAACATCCCCTTTAATACCGGCAAGATGTTTTTAAACAGGTTTATGCCCCTTTTTGTATATTTTTCACAAAAATTGCATCTAATGCAATTTTTGTCATTTGGATTTGGGTTATATCTATATTTCCAACCCGGATCTCTACTTCGATTAGATCTTGAAGAAGACATCTCAAAATAACAATCTAAAAAATAAAGTTTTGCACTTACTTTGATTGCTCGAGCTCCAAACTCCCACTTCTGAGATGTTTTCTGGTGCTAAAATAATAAAAAACACCCTCTAATAGGATTATAAAACTCTAAAACTAAATCAAATCTACCTGGGTGATGCTTTGATCCATTTTTCGTAATTTTGATAAACACTTCGATCCAATGAAAGTCACAAAATTTAGTTTTCTTGGGGTTTCTTTCTCTCTAAAATGTGTTCTTGTGGGTTTAGGATTCAAATGAACCTAAAAGCCATCCTTAAAACCTTTTATGTTTTTAAAAAAATCAATACAAAACTTAAAAACAAAAAAAAATCAATACAACGAAAAACAAAAAAATTTCCACCCCTAGGCGGGACACAGGCTGCCCGTCTAGGCGAGTTCTGTACCCCCTAAGTGGCCACCTAGGGACTACCGCTTAGTTTGGCCGCTTAGGCCTAGGCGATGCGCGTAGGCCTTTTGGACCACCTAGGCGTTGGGCGGTCCGCTTTTTTTAACAATGTGGGCGGTTCGCTTTTTTTAACAATGATGGCAACTCTAGCTTTTTCTCTATATCATTAGATTGGGACAACGATTTTATCATTGTTAGACCTGTCAATCGACCCCATTACTTTTGAATTATAAACATAATTAATTATATGCTGTTTTTATGCATTTTGATGCACCTGCCCCGCATGCGATGATGCGAATAATAGAGGAGATGGTTGCAACTGTATCTCTTGAACGCCAAATACGCCTAAAAAGTCACAGAAGCACGTGCATAATAAATACCCTATTACCTCAAAGATGCACCCCAAATTTTAGCTTGATCGGTCGTGAGATAAAGGAGTACCGTACACCACGGATGGAGAAGAGAAAGGATATAGTAAAACTCCTAAAATTTGACCTCAAATGGCCTCCAGACCGTCATGGATGAATTAGAATTTTGGGAAACCCCTAGACCCCAAATTTCACTCCAAACGGACCTTCTTAGGCCCTATTTTCCAAAAAATGGATGCTTCTATACTATTCAAAATTTTATAGCTTATACCAGTTACCAAATATAGTAAAATCCTGTCACACTTCCTCAAAATTAGCAAACTTTGCGCCTTTGGATCTCACAATCCGCAAGTTGGATCGAGCTGAAATTTGGATATGTTGTGTTCCTTGACAAGCATGTTCTTTTGGTGTAGGCCTTGCATGTGATCATCGGTCGAATTGAAAGAAATCATAGAGAGAATTCCACAAGTCTTGAAGCTCATGCAAAAACCAGTTTACGTGACCACTTCGCGCTTTTTGCCTCGTAACTTGATATCCGACCATCAACTCGAGCTCAAATTTGGTGCATTTTGATTGTAATTTGAATACCTTCAAAATGACATAAGAAAAATCACGACTTGGGTTCGGGAGGATGACACAAATTTAGGTGTAGCCATAACTTCGACGATCAAAGATCTTTTCTCCTACTTATAGGTTCAATGATCATGACAAGGTTTCCTTCGATTTGCCACCAAAAAGTCCCCAATAAACTTGACATTTCCGAAACAATCGATTGAAGAGTATCAATGAAGATTTACGTAAAAACCATAAAATTCAACACTATAAAAAACTTTACCAAATCCTTATGGTTCTATGCAAAACATATATCAAAACGATCGTGGCAGAACGATCTATGTTTTCTTGATGATAAATTGCCCATTTTGGCGCCGGAGAAGCTGAAAACAAGGCCCTACCATGTGGATGAGAAGATACCCTCTTTGAAGGACCTAATCGTCAATTTTGGACATCGTTTTTTTCTTTTGAGAATTGTTAACTTTGTATAAGTGGTAAAGTATTAACAAAATGATTAATCTACAGATGGCATCCCACTAGCTGGGTGCTCAAACTACAACAACTAAGAAGTGTATGGAATGCCAAATTGGTGAACAACGAAGATTGGGGGGGAGGGGGGAGAAGAGGGAAGAGGAAGTAAATAAACTTAGTATAAAATCTTTTACAAAGTAAGTAAAAAACCAAAAAACACAAAGTAAAACCAAAGGTGTGAAGGGGGGTCTTCTGTTGACTAGCTTGGTACTTAATGCCTCTGAAGACCAACGAACTCTAGGAATGATGGTGGGTAAAGTGGAAGGAAAATCTATGTATGGTTGACCAGATAGTAGTTGGAATTCAGAATGGAAGTTTGGATTCTGTAAGTTGTCAGTTTGATGTGCAGTGTCGCCTGATCTTGAGTGGCATCAATCCTTAGCAACAGAAGTTCAACACAACAGAGATGTTTGCCGTGAGAGACGGCATAGGGGGGAAGAGGGGTTGCATAGATTTGAGGGACTATCGACAACATCAGTTCGGTGTTTTAACAAGGGTGAGGTAGAGAAAAGAGAGAGAAAGGGATGAGGAGAAAGAGTGTAGAAAAAAGCATGGAGTACGCACAAACAGATGAAGGAGAGAGAAATGAGAGATTGGAGTTTAGCCTTTCAACAGGGGTGAGGTAGAGAATGAGAGAAACTGAGATGAGGAGGGGAAAAAAAGTAGAAAGAGACAAAGAGTACGCACAAACATATGAAGGAGAGAGAAGTGAGAAAGAGACTCAGAAGCAGACGAGAGCAAAAAAAGAGAAGGGGTAAGAAGAGGAAGGGGAGGAGAGGGGGAAGGAGGAAAGAAAGCAAAAAAAAAAGGATTTAGGAGGGGCGAGATTTGAAAAGAAGAGAAGAAAGGTAGTAAGCGGGAGTAGAGCAGGGAGAGGGGAGAAAATATGGCAAGATTTTGGACATTGTTCATTTTCTTTTTGGTCAAATTTTTCCATTTACCCGAATTTTGTCATATTTTTCATCGTTTTTCTTGTTCACACAAATTTCTAAGGTTTTGAGCATCTGCCCTTGTTTAAGGGGGAGCTCTTTATAAAGCCCATTACTCATGTAACTAAGGATGCCTTTTTTTGCTTTGTGATTAATGAAATTCTATCACCTTGAAAGATGAGGGAACTTTTGTGCAAAAGAGCTCTTAGATCCTTGCTTATAATCGCCGCGGAAAGCCTTCCTATGTCTGTCGGTCGGTGGGGCACGAGAGTATATGAGTCTCGGAGAGTCTCCTAAAAAGGGTGGGTCTTATGAACCAAGCACCCCAGACGAGCCTTGTGAGCCAAGTGCTTGTGGTTGTCCTTAGATGAGCCTTATGAGCCAAGCGCCGCAACATGAGTAGAGCCTGACCTACACCATATATACCCGCTAGCTTGGATCGTGGTTTGATTCCACTCCTTCGCATGTCCTACTGCACTAGGGTCTATGGTTCGTGCGCTTGTGATTGTTGATGAGCCTATGTAATTGTTGCAGTTTGGTTTGTGAGAGACCTAGGTATAGGCTTGGTCTGGTTTGAGTTGGTTTGGGTTGGTTGGGATTGGTCGTGAGCTAAGATGAACTCAGGTGGGTCCTAATTGGTTTGAGTTAGGTTGGGTTGGAATGGGTTGAATGGGTTGAGGCGGGTTCAAGTAGGTTGAATTTGGTGTGAGGGTGGGCTAGGAAAAGCTAGGGGGGGGTGTGAGCTTGAATGGGTCAAATGAGCAGACAAGGGTAGGTTGGGGCATGTAGGTCAAGTAGGTTGGGGCATGTAGGTCAAGTAGGTTGGGGTTGTG